AAGCAGCTTCTCATCAATCTCTGGATCCAGATTCCCAATGAAAATGTTGGCCCCTACATCCAGGTTTTTGTTATGAGCTGATGCTTTGTTCACCCTTACTGGCTTTCCATAGAGTTTGATCATGTTCATAATCTTAATGGCATAGTCAGCATCTTCTTCACTCAAGAATTCAACAAAGCCATAGCCTTGGTGCTGGCCAGTAACTCTGTCCTTTGGCATATGGGTGTTGACTACCGGCCCGGCCTGGAGAAAGAGTTCCCACAGCAGTGGTTCACTAACCTTCTCGTCAAGGCCCCCCACGTACACAGTAGCATCCTGATTCCATTCGGATATCGGCCCCACAGCCATGGCGAAGGAGCTCCCACCGTCGCCAACCGGTAGCCCCCAGGAGTTTTTCTAGTAGAAGAAAGAGAGTGGGTACTGGAGCCTGGAACTTCATGCAAACCCTTGCTGCTGCTTTTGGGAGTAGTCGGTTGAAACTCTCCTGCATCTCTGTCCAAGATGAATGACCTATGATTCCTTTGTGTCATCTACGCAGATTGAAGAGAAAAAAAACGACACTATCCAACCTGTCTGAAATTTAGATCCCAGGAAAGTAACTTGGGATGGCAGCCAATACATGGAGAATCCACCTGGCATCAAGGTCTGGTGTCTGTCTGCCCCTGCCTGATTGCCTGCTGTCTCTTTCCCTCCCACTCTGTGGTTTAAGAACACACCAAACTACTCTCGCTGCAGGCAAAAGTGAGAGGTGGAAGCAGTTGGATGTGGTTAGAGCAGAGGACACGGAAGTGTGAGCTGATGTAGGTGGGGGTTGGAAGAAAAGGAAGGGAAGATGACTTCTCAGTCTTAGATTTGTTGGATCAAAGGTGCATATGGGACATCCCTGAAGACAGGAGGTTTTTGCTTCATAATGATCTTTGCAGAGGCGGGGAAGGGACAGGGCCCGGTCCAGAAGATGGCGGAGGAGGGGGATTTCTGCTGCATTGACAGGCATCTAGGAGAACCACATAAATTTAAAAGAGAGTGGTCCAGTGTAATGCAGTGTGTAGCTGTCTTTGTTGGTATAAATCATGCCATGCCAAAATGGATTTTGATAACAATATACAACTATCTCTCACACTGGCTGCACTCTCCATTGGACTATGGTGGACTTTCAATAGATCTAGAAGTGATTTTGGCCTTGGAGTAGGAATCGCTTTCTTGGCAATGGTGGTCACTCAGCTGCTAGTCTATAACGGTGTTTATCAGTATACATCTCCAGATTTTCTCTATGTTCACTCCTGGTTACATGTATATATTTTGCTGGAGGCATAGCAATGGGAAACATTGGTCGACAACTTGCAATGTATGAATGTAAAGTTATTGCAGAAAAATCTCATCAAGAATGAAGAAGGAAAAAATATATATTTTGTACAGAAAAACATGAAGAAAAGAGCATGTAAATTACATCAAAAAATGTTGGACTGTAAAATTGCTAAGATGCAGTTTTCCCCCGATCGGTGTGTATAAACACACACACACACACACACACACACACACGCACGCACGCATGCACACACACGTACAAAACATTACTACTGCAACCTGTGATTGCTTTATCTGTAAATCAGTTACAAACCTTTATGTATTTGACCTAAAAACTGTAAGATATATGTGCATTACATTAAAAATGTTGATTAGTAGTAAAAAATAATAATCTCTTCACCTACAAGAGCTTCTGGCAGATAATTGATTTCTTACTTTTACTAGTACGTGTGTGCAGTATATAACGGATACATTTTTTTGTTTTTGTTCTGAGACAGGGTCACTGTATAGTTCAGGCTGCCCTGAACTCACTTGTAGCCCAGGTTAGGCTCAAATTTGCAGCAATACTCCTGCCTCAGCCTCCTAATGCTGGAATTATAGGCATGCACCACCATGCCTGGTGATAATTGGTTCTTAAATTTTTACTTCTACCAGTACATGTTTGCAGTACATACTGAATACATTCATCATAGGGAGCTGGTACATGGATACAACACATCTTAATTCTTTTTATATCCCCTTCCCTGCTTGTTCCTCCTCCTCCCGCCATCTCTTGCTTCTTTTGTGAACTCATTTACTGAGTGACCCTCCCAACCAGATTTTACAGAGGCAGCCTGTATTGCCCTGCTCTGTACTGAACAGAAGGCACAGAACAAATTCCAAGTTTAGTTACAGCCAAGAGATGGAGGGAGGGTTGAACTGCATTTTGGTGTCTTGTTCTGTGGTCCACAGATGTCTGGGATGATTTCCATAACAGCAAGGCTCTTGGTGACAAGTGAAAGAAATAGACCTCAGGTAATTTAAGCAGAAAATTGGTTTCTATGCTTTCTCTGGACAGGAGCCCCTCAGTAGCCCTTTCCATGGTTTTATTGTCACAGCTGAAATCTGGGGGCAACTATGAGGTGTCCTCACACTGAGAAATAGGAAAAAAGCAACTAAGTTGCCTTCTCAGAATTATGCTGCTCTTTGACTTTGCATAGTTTGATGTCCATCTTAGTGAGCAGATGGGAAGCTTAATATGAACAAGGACAAATGTCAGTCTTGGTCACTGCTATAACCCCACGTCTTAGACCAGAGCCTGGCATATTATGGGTACTTAGTAACTGTGTTGCCTTTTTTTTTCAGAACCAGGGATTGAACTCAGGCCTTTGCACTTACCAGGCAAGCGCTTATTCTACTGAGCCATCTCCCTGGGCCCTGTGTTGCCTATTTGACTAAACACAAATCTCTGAAGCATTAATACAAAAATGTGCCAGCTCGCCTGAGGAAGTGAGCATAACTCTGGCTCAGTATAGACTAGAGCCTAGTCTAAGGGATTCATGTAGTGCTGGGCAGGCTTGGACCCATTTATAATCCCAGCTATTCAGGAGATTGATGTAGGAATTTCACTTGAACCCAGCCTAGGAGTTGGAGGCCAGTCTGGGCAACACAGTGAGACCTGTATGTTAAAACAAAAAATTAATGTACCTAAGAAAAAGTGGTA